AAGGCAGGTTTAGCATCCCAAGCAGCCGGGCGAAGGGAGCCGATCCTTAGGGAAGCACGGATCCTTACGGAGCTGCTCCACCTCAGGCAGAGGCTGAGGTTAAGTGGGGACCGGGGTGGTTTTAAGGATCCCAAGTGCCGGCGCTGGGTTGCAGCATCCTCATCTTCCCTCCCTGCTTTTCCCGGCCGGAGAGCTGTCATTACAGACTCACAGAATGGTTAAGGTTGGAAGGGACCTCTAGAGATCACCTAGTCATCATCAGTATGAATAATTAAACCCGTAGATATGTGTGCGGTGCCGGCGATCCCACACAGCCCCGTCGCTGATTAAATAGGTACCCATCGTGTTTTAAACCTCTAATTGTGCTAACGAGCAGCGCCGTCTGTGACACTCAGAAGCCCGAATCCAGCAGCGGCTTGGAGCCCCTGGTTAACAGGATTCAATAGCTCCCTGGATGCCCTTCGTGGGGGTTAAAGCCAAGGCAGGGGCAATTAGCCGGGCCTGGGAGAGCGGTGCCGGAGCGCACAGGAGCCCTGTGCTCCAGACCCGCAGGGATCGGGATGCATCCCTGCATGGTACCCTACCTGTATCCCTGCATGGTACCCTACCTGTATCCCCATGCAGTGCCCGTCCTGCATCTCTGCATGGGATCCTACTGCATCCCCACACGGGACCCTATCAGCATTCCCATGCTGGATCCTACCTGCATCCCCACGTGGGACCCTATCGGTATTCCCATGCCAGATCCTACCTGCACCGCTGCATCCCTGTGCGGCCGGCCGGCATCGCCCGTGTGAGCCGGGGAAAGGAAAACAGGAGAAAATAACTGGAAAAGGCACAGCCTTAAAAAAGAGGCGGCTGTGCCCAGGGTGGGACGGAATAACAGCGTGAGTCAGTGTTTGTCTGGGCAGAGCCGCCGGCGCGCGGGACGCTCGGGCTCGCCTCCAAGCCGGCTCGGGAACGCTTTCCGTGGGGAGAAACGGCCACGGGAGCAGAGCGGGATGGAGCGGAGCGGGACAGAATGGAGTAGAGCGCCGGGAAGGGGAAGCCTCGCAGCTGCGCTTGCAAAACCAAAGGTTTTTCTTGCAAAGGGCGGCTGATGTTGCTGAATCGCTAAAAATGACCCGAGCTGCTGCTGAGAAGCCAGAAGTTACTTTTTCTCCTGTTCTTTCTGTTTTAGAGTGGTCGCTGTTAATTTTAGGCTCTTGGGGCATTTTGCAGGCAGTGTAAAGCCGATAAAACTCCCTCCTTTCCCTGCCGCAAGCCTCGCGGCTCTGGATCCTCCCATCCACCAGCACCACAGATGGTGACATCCTGGGGCCGTGCTGCCAGGACACCTTCCCCATGTGCTCCGGGTCCAGGGATCAGTGGAAAACCACAGGAAGGGGGAGAAGGATGCGGTGGGAGGGGAAGGTTTTGGTGCCCGCAGGGAAGCGCCGCACGCTGGAACGCCGCTTTCCCACGAGCCCCATCCCGGTCACAGGGACACGCGGGGCAGGGACCCGTCCTGTGCCATCAACCGGACCCCAGACTCCCATGGGAAGCAGAGCCAGGGGGGCAACTCCA